CGGCCGGAGTGAGGCTGCTCTGCTCCCAAACACCAACTGCTCCTCAGCCTCAAGTACCCTGGAAGCCGCAGATTGTCTCAAGATCACTCGGAAGGTCTCCTCAGGCAGAAGGAGATGATTTAAAGGTGAAAATGAGAAGGTTTCCAGCCCTCAAACCTTGGCTACTTTTCTGACGGCAGAGTCTGAGAGCTCAGATGTCTTCTTTACTCTGGGAACAGGATTTGTAACGAAAGAGATCTTTAATTTTTATTCTTTTTTTAAATCCTGACAAAGAAGATTATTGGGAAGCTATTAAAATCCCTTATTGTGATACAGATGGATTTAAAAAAGTGTTAGATCTTTCCAATGAACACTAATAGAGTGCTCTGCTCTTGGTTGGATTACTCAGGTAAGGAGCTTCTTGAGGATTTCAGATTCAGAAAGCAGATCTGGAACTCATCAGATAATAAGTGGAGGAATTCTCACTGCTGTGCTTCTTGTTAATGATAAGATGATGTGTGTGTGTGTGACAGCAGTTTGCTGGCAAACAAGTGCATGAAGGCAGGGTTGTAAGGAATGCTGGGCTTTGAGCAAAGGGAATTTGAAACAGTGGAGTTTGAGAGAGGTTTTGTGAAAAAGAGAGGGGGAAAATAAAAAGCAGAGATTTAATAATAAAGCCTGAGTGGGTAAAGTCAGTCTGCTGCCCATGTGGTTAAGGATATGATGCCCAAGGAAGACACAGGAGCATTTAGCAGGCTGGAGAAGTTTGCCTTTGCTTTGCTGTTTGGCTAGGATTTTTAAAGATCAGTTTAAATACCCTGAATACCTGCAGTATCCCTACGTGAGAGTCACCTTTCCCTCTAACCTTTTTATATAAAAAGCATGGGAGCACCAAATACAACGAGAAGGCAATAACTCCTGATGACATGGGAAGCCTGCTGGGAGCTCCCTGATCAGAGGGGATTGAATCAGTTTAGCAAGATAAATAGGACTAAAAAGAGAGGAGAAAAAGTACACTGTATTCTGCAAAGTAAACAGAAATGAAATAATTACATGATAAGCAGTGCATCAACCACTCGGTACAGAGAAAGGAAGAGCCTCATGCTGATCAGAATAATATTTGGGTATTTTCTATTCTGTTTGGCAATTTATGTGGTTCCTTTCAGCCAATTAAACTTAAAGCTTCCCAAACTCTCTCTGCTTCTTTAAAACCAGGCACAGAAAAATATTTTATATGCATATATTTTCTTACCACTGTATTTCACTCTAGCAATAGTTAATTTTCCAACTGCAGTAATCCCCCTGGTATATCACATTACAGACTTCTGAAGTATTTTTTAAGGATGTGATTTTTCTAAGTGGTAGATTTCATCTTTCAAAGTCTGTCTTGCTCCGTGACAATGATGTTCAGCTGATTGGATTATTAGATAGAAAATGGCATCATGTCATTGGCTGAATAAGGAGAGTGCCTGAAGTTTGATTAATTTGGCAATAGGAAATGCAGCAGAAGGTGTTGTTAAGGGAACTGGACGATGTGTAGCGTAGCTGAGCCTTGCAAACCTCCCAGTCCTTGCAGGCAGTCAGAAAGAGCTGCTGAAGTTAAGAAGTCAGAGAGAAATTCAGCCACTTAGTACAATGACAAATCCAAGTATGAAAACCCACAGTTGTCTGCATAGATTGGCCAAGTATGCCAGCACTGGGAGACAAAGGAATTGCTCCTGCCTTTTGCAACAGAAATCTTTTTAAAAATTTTGACACACTCTGCTTTGTGAAATGATCAAATCTTCTACAAAATACCCCTGAAGTTCAGGCTAGCCATATGCCAGTCCCTTCACAGGTACAGGTCGAACAAAAGGAAACTGATTTAGTCTGGGAATTGGAGCATAATTCTCAGAAACAATTACTTTGTTTAGCAGACAGCATCATGATTAAAAATTAATGCTCACAAAAGTAAAAACCAATAAACTGTTACCTTCTGGGTCAGCACCAGCCTTCCAGTCTTGGAGATGGAGTATTTTTGAAATGTGTCTCAGATATCTGAGCATGTTTTATGCCTATCTGTAATGTTTCTAAAGTAGTTTTAATGTTGTCTGAACATCACTAATTTTTAGCTGGCTATGTGATTTTTTTCTTTTTGAACTCCCTTGTCAATTCAGCTATGGACCAGTGTGTGAATATTTGCTAGCATTCTATTTACATTGTTGTTTTTTTCAGCCCACAGATCATTACAGTTTCATTTTTGCCCCTGAATTATTAAAGTTATCCGGGCTCCTGTGTTGACATCTTGTTACCTCAACTGTCCTTCTTGGGCACAACCTTTGTTGTGTGACAATTGTATCCTGCAGAGGGGAATAATAACCCAGAGATAAAAGACATTTAGCACAAGGAGTAAAAAAAGGAAAAAAAAAGAAAAAAAAAAAACAACAAAAATTACAATGCTGTTGTAATGAAAGCTGACTATTCTGTGTGCTGTTAGGCAATGGATAATAATGTCTGTCTAATATTTTGTTTAGAGAATGGCAGTGGTCTCTGCAATGTCCTGGGTCCTGTGTTTGTGGATAAGTGCCTGTGCAATGCTGCTCTGTCAGGGGTCCCTCCATCACACTTTCCAGCAGCATCACCTGCACAGACCAGGTAGGACTGAGATTAGCTGTGGGATGCCATGAGATTGCAGGCTTTCTGCCCATGCTTATGTCTGTCTTGATAAATGATTGAATAATCATAACATCCATTTTAGCATTTAACTTTTATGAGTTGCTTGCCTTTATATTGCACAGCATCTTTTGTTGGGTCAGTCTAACATGTATTATGCTTTGCCAGTCTGAAGTTGGAACATTCACCCTTTAAAGTTGTCTTCTAACAACTGCCCAGGACAGAATCCCATTTTGAATAATTATTTAGGTTCTCTATCTCTTTTTCTGTCCTTATTTCTATCTCTCCTTCTCCCTGTTTTGTGCAGTTCTGGAGTGGGTGTGTAACTCAGAAAGACAGCAGAGGTTGGGCAACTTTGCAGTTGACCCAAAATGAACATGAATTTGCTTAAAATACCACCATCAGGTCTCACTCATAGTCACTGGTGTTTACTGGAGGTCAGGTGTTTGCCTTAGCAGAAATAAGAGAGACAATTATTCCAAGGTTCTCAAGTTTCCCTCTGAAAATTGGTGGGGTTCTGGAAGTGCAGCCCAGAGGAGAATTTGGGACTGTCTTTCAATGGAGTTACATGCCTGTCAAGTCAGGATAAAGCCCAGAGGTTAGCAGTGGAGAATGCTGTTTGTTTGGACTGTTGTGATCCACAGAGACTGCACATTAGTAGTTTTGTTGTGTTTTTATTACCAGGAATTGATCAGGAAGCTCTTTTGACTGTTAATTGTGCTTTGAAGAACCATGTGCCAGGTTGAAAATTGAGGAGTTGTCATATTCTAGATTAGTATTATCTGGTTAAAATCAGATCAGCCAGGAAAATTGCTTCACAAATTTAGATCCAAGGAAAAGCAACAGAATTTTTAAGATCTTTAGAAATGGGAGATGGAAAATGTTAACTTGGTGATGAATCATTTAATAATGTGGCAACTAGTAATTTAATATTTTCTAATCTAATGGCACACCTGCAAAGATGGACAGTCTTGAACCACAGGTTTACAGCAACCTTAATGGCTCAAACTTTTCCCAACTACTTTCCTTATTCAAAAGTCACAGACATTGGCATTGTCTTGTTTTCTTGTAATTAAATGTGTAGCATGAAGGAATAGACCTAAATCTTTGATAGACTAATGTTCAGTAGCTGTGTTAGGACATCAGATTAAGTCATGGTGTTGTGTTTGTTCACTGGCATTGGAAGTTTGAGCAGCACGGTTCTTGTGTGGGACTTGCAGAGAAATTAACAAAATGTTTATAACAATGCAATTGTAAGTAATGCTGTTGGTTATTTGAGTCTGCCTCCCAGTTAAAGAAAAGGGGGAAAACAGCCCAGCTAAACAAAGGTAAAAGGAAAAGGTAATCTTGTTTTCTAAGATCAGTTGAACAAGTGATATTATGAGAAGAAATGAGAGCTGGGCAGGTTCAGAGCTCTGCAACATTTGCCTAAGCTTGAAAAATCACCTTTTTTATGAAGCAAGAACAGCAAGACACTGAATGCATACCAAGTGTTGAGGAAATGTGAAAAATGACAATCTTTCACTTGGAGATGTGATACAGATAGAGTGAAGGTTTTACAGCTGCCTCATCACCTACTTAGAAACAGCCAAGCCTTCCCTCCTGCGAGCCTTTCTCAGGCAGCTTCTCGGCACCCTACGTGAATAAGATTGATGGTGTTCTGATCCCAGGCAGCCAATTTCAGTCTCTCAAGAAATAATCCACTACATTGACAGATGAGTGGAATTTGATGTGATGTTCACCTCGGATTCAGATTGTGCTGCACCTGGGAAGTATCAGCTAGTGAGTGTCCTTTAGGGAAACCGTTAGAGATTGTGAACAATTTCTGCTGTCACAACAGAAAATCAAGGCAGTGTTTTTTGTAAGGCCATGGATTTGCAGTCTGCCAACTGAATGTGAAAGGTTGTACATAAAAGGGATGGAAATATGTTAACTAGCAAACGGAGTGATTTTAATGTATTCAACTGCAGTCCCTGAGCACACCCTATTTTTCATATTTATAATATTAGGAATGCGTCATTTACTTTTAGTTAGTCACTGTGTAAGTAAGATTAAAATGTTCAGCCAAATAAAAGTGAATAAAAAATGGATGCAGATGAGACAGTGGGTAATTTCAGTAATTTAATATTTGGTACATGGAATTTCAGCTTATTGAACCATGGCAAATGTAGCTGTAATCAACAGCAAGCTCAGCATACCTTTCAGTTCGTGATCTTCCATAGTTAACAAGATGCTCTAAAATGAGAGACTTGGAACTGATCTACTCCATGGTGGGGCTACTTTGGTACAAGATAATTAAGAAGGTAGATTGCACTCTGTCTTGTGCTTCTCATACTTGATGAATAGAAGAGTCTCACTGAGCACAGGAAGGTGCAGGTAAAAGATAAAATCCTGCTGGAGTCTGTTTAGCATCAATAAACTTGAACAGAACTCAGTGGATTAGCACAGTGAATATACCCATCTGTGCTGCTAGGGTTAATCCAGTTTTGAAACACTGGAAAACAAGGGCAATATATGCAAAGGTTAGGTTTTCATCAGAGTATTCTGGGCTTGTTCTTTTTTTTTTTTTTTCCCCCTGAAACTTTCTTCAGCAAGTATCTGAAGGGGCTGAAATAGATTCCTACACACTGTGCAATCACAGGAGCTTAAACTTCCTTTCAGTGTAGTAAATTTTTTCAGTTTGAATTCAGAACTTCTCTGTTCAGTTAGATGATGTAGCAGAAGGTACAAACCTGAAACCAAATATGATAAACTGCTTTATGTGATAGTATTTGTAATTGTCTGTAGCTTCACTTTCTGTGAAATGTTGGCAGGTGGGCACAGACCATAAGGACATAGTAAATACTGCTTGAATGTATTTGATACTCTATTATTTATACCTGTTCATTAATTCTTTTTTGACTCATTAGCAAAATGAAAAGTTGGAATGCAACTCTTAACCACCCTTAAGTATGGGTGGATGATCCTTTTGTGACAGAAGAGGAGGGCGAGGTAGATTTTTGTTTCTTCACAGAGATCCAGAGGAGAACTTGAGCATGAGGTAGCTGAACACCAGTGCAGTGTAAATCCCCTTGGGTAATGCATGCAGCTTTCTGTAGTTTTTTTTTTTGTCTATATTTCATCTAAATGAAAATGATGTTTGGCAAAGAATGTATGAAAGCATGCACAGGAAATAAGTTTATGTGGAAACAAATCTCCATTTTTTTCAAGTGTGTCATTTTTTTGTGATTTAATAAGAAGCATCAGTAATGAGAAGAATTCTGCATGGGCTGATTTAGGCTCTAAGATCCACACAGTGGTAGAGCTGTTGAATTGGCCTGAGGACTAGAGTGGACAGGTTGTGATTTGCAGTTAGCTGAGTACCTGTGATAGTCCATTGCTCATTGGATTGACAGGATTGACCCCGCCCAGAGGTAGGAAGTAGACGCTGACATTTGGCAAGACGGCAACATATTAAGAAAGCAAAGGGATCAAGTTTAAGAATAAAAAATACCTGCCACCTTTTCAATCACACAGTTTTTATCAAGTTTTCTTGCTTTATTCCATAAAGAAGGATATTTTCCCCCCAGTAAGGGCCATCAGGTAGTACTGAATCACAGTGGGAAACACTGGCCACACATTCCTTAAAAATACAGGGAAGTACTTTGGATGCATCTCTGTTTGTGCAAAATAAGGAGCTACACATTAAGGATGCTGGGGTGCTCTTGCATGCAGTGAAAAAGATGTGAGGCAGATACAAGCAAGAACATATACCTGCTGTAACAATGCTGACATTTGCAAATATGTTAATTAAAAATTGGCCTATTCAGAGGAAGAGATCATGGACTGAATCAAGGCTGGAATCGTTTGTCTCCTAAACATGAAGTACCTTTTATTGTGACAGTAGTTAATGATGTGTGCATTAAAAATCACCTTAAAAACTGACTGTCTGTGCCTCAGAGTACAAGGAGGAAAATCTGTCTCAAAGTAACTCTACACAAACTAACAAGCAATATCAACCTAAGGATGCTCTGAACATGTTTCTCAGTAGACAGCATTTTGCAAAAACTTGAATCTGTGAGCAAAAAATTTCTTTGTTCAGATCTTGGCCTTCCCACTGATTTTTATTGCCTTGAGGGAAACAGAATATTTTTACTTTTCAAAAGGTCTGTGGTTTTCATAGGTCCCATATATGTGGCTTTTCAGTTCAAAACAGACTGGGAAGAATGTTGGTCTGACTAATTCCTTGAGAAAGTGCAGATAAAATACATGTCTTGAATTAGCAGAGCAATTGAAATCTGGAAGATGAATTAAATGGGATTTTTGCTCTTGATACTGATAGAAGCAAGTGTAGGACTAGGCACTTCATGTGTAGGGTGTCTGTGAGTTGATAATCAGACTGGCTGGATGCAAACTGTTGCTTTTGGTACAAAACAGAAATTGCCATGCAACAGCCTAGGCAGTACCCAGTAGATCATGCCATGGACATGAAAGCTGGCAACTGGTGTTTCTTGTGGTGCTAGAGCTAACAAATTTGTTCATTTTAACTAAGGCCTGATTCAGATTTCATTTACACCAACAAATGTACAGAAGGCACCTTAGACATCCCAATTTATTCATGCTCAGATAAACCTTCTGCCAACCAGCTATTCCAGTCCTTCACTGGAAATAATCTCTCTTATGATACCCTCTTGTTATGCACCTCTGGCCTCCACAGTCTGATCTTGACTATGTGAAAACTCCAACTGCTAAATACAGAAATCCAGGTTGGAGGTACTTGCTCTATTCCAGGTCACACAAACAATACATTGGGATGTATGTGGACAAAGGTAATTATCTATTTTGCATATGTAGACAACTGATGTAATGAAACCAACAGATTCTAGCAGGAAGCATGATAGTGCTGAATTGCCCACTGTGCTTGTGATGTGCGTGTTTACAGCAGCAGACTTTGTCAGAAGTATTGTGTCTTGTGATTTTATTTTCTGAAAAACTGAACCTCC